CAACAGCAGGCCTGTCCATAACTCTCCCCCACAGGGCATTGGGATACAGTCTAACCATACTGATTCTCCCTAAAGCAATTTGAGAGAATAGTACTTGGATGCAGAGCAATTATATAGATGATTTCATGGCACTTGCAGCTTTAGCTGAAGGCAATAATATTCTACATCCACAGGGAAGAACTTTGAGATTTGGATGAATATTATTAACCCTGATTGAGGGCAGTCTTCTTCATCCTTCTGCTTCAGATGCTGATCTTCAAGGAATTATTTTTGGAAAAAGACCCTAAATCGATGGTTTTGTTTTCATTTTTCAAAACTTGCTGCCTGCAACCTGACTCTTTCTGAATATCTGTCTATTACTAAGGGTTTTGCTTCTATTTCATGGAGTGAGTGAGAGAGTGAGTTTAGTTTTACGCCACACTCAGCAATATTCCAGCTATATGGTGGCGGTCTGTAAATAATCGAGTCTGGACCAGACAATCCAGTGATCAACATCATGAGCATCGATCTCCGCAATTGGGAACCGTTCACATGTGTCAACCAAAATAGGTACAGATCTTCGCGATTTACCACTTATGACTAACAAAGAATCTTCTATAGGGAGAATTTTACTTTGAACTCAGGATCATAGGATTCAGGCACACTTAAGGGACATAACTCTGCAAACGAGTTCTAGTGCACAAGATGAATGGGCCATCCATGTCCTACTGTAATCGTGTCTGATACACATACAACACAGACATTAATACTTTTGATTACGACATTTGCGAGATGATGGAAAGCCAATCTGAATAATTGCCTCATCTCAGCCTGGCATCATGTTACAAGACAATACAAGCCAGAATGTTCGAGAAACTGATTTAAACCCAACAATGATTGATACAAGCTCAGCATCTCACAAATATTCTCCTTTTACACAAAAGACTGAATTTGAATGTTTTGTCAATACTTCACTCACAATCCAGCATTAAGGTTTTTCTGTTGCCGTGTTTCATGTTTGTAATCCTGAATGATTGGATTGACCTCCCCGAGCAGGACATGATGACTGAATCAGACAAGAAACATGTCTCAACTTGGGGCACAGCAATTAACTCGGCTTGTTGATGCAGAATCAACTTTCAACTACATTTCCATCAGTGGAAGATTTTACAACACACACTGTAGAGTGCTTCCTGGCCTTGACCTTCAAGGTCACTTTGTCAGGCAATATGTGGGCATGTCATCCTTGATGATCCTAACACAATGTCTTCTTTAAAACAGGATTTGGTTCCTCATATTCACCCTACATGTTTCCAAATATGAAAAACAATCAACAAATTTCCCATTTCTCGACAAATCTGCACTGGATGATAGTGTAATGATATTAAAGGGAAGTAGCTCTATTTTACCCCTTATTCAAGTCAAAGGTTTTGTCGTAAGATTCTTTTAACACTCAGCTTTGCAGTGATTGAGTTGTTCCTTTGGGCCTTCTTCTATCAATAATGCCTGTTGTCTATTTGGTTGTTCAAGTTTATGTTTTGAAATATTTAATTTTCGCATTTATGGAGAGAGGATATGTTAACCGATTCACATAGAGCAATTACACCAGTCATGATTTTTGTACCTGAATACACTCAAAAGTATATTACTATCATATATCATTTACTTAAAGTGTTGGACCCGTGAAGGTCTGGGTTAGAATGAGTGAGTGAGTGAGTTTTGTTTTACGCCGCATTCAGCAATATTCCAGGTATATATTGATCAATATTCCTACCCGGATCTTCGAACCTTCAGTAACCCATGCTTGTCGTAAGAGGCGACTAACAGGATCGGGTGGTCAGGCTCGCTGGCTTGGTTGACACATGTCATCGGTTCCCAATTGCGCAGATCAATGCTCATGCTGTTGATCACTGGATGTCTGGTCCAGACTCGATTATTTACAGACCGCCGCCATATAGCTGGAATATTGCTGAGTGCGGAACTAAACTCACTCACTCACACACTCAGAAAACACAAGCATTGTTCACTGTATAATCAGCCAATATGGACAATGGAGTCCATTAGTGGGCATGGCCAAATTCTTTTTAAGTTTATAGAAACATAAATTTAGAAAGTAACTGCTTGGTTAGCCATCAAATGCCATGCAGTCACCTGCAATTTATTTATTGGTTCTCCCCTGTGAGTCTTCAATTGGAACATAATGGATGAATTCCTCTGATTGTCCAGTTCGGAAATAACAGAGGATGTTCCTTTGGGTCTTCAACTGGCAGTGAATTGATTGCTTATTGTCTTTGGGTCTTCAACTAGGAGATAACAGTATTTATTCGCCTTCATCTAGGGGATAGACTGACAACTCGAAGGTCCTTTGGGTCTTCAAATAGGAGATAATGAAGGATTTTCTTTAGTACTTTTAACTAGGATGAGGTTCCTTTGAGTGTTCAACATGGCGGCAATGTGATGAAGGTTATAGGTGCTGACGACTTTGGTGGAACTCGGTATGATGGTAATCCTATTTTCAAAGGTAATTCCTGTTGGCATAGCATGAGGAAAAGACAAATCAACTTACACACTTCAGGAACAATACATCATATTGATGGATCACTATGCATTGTTTCAGGAAATATTGTGTATTTTGATATAGCAATGAAAGACTGACACTCAATTGACACTCATTTGAGTTGATTTATATAATAGATGTTAGGTCACAAGTACAGGATCAGAGTGGAACTTGACACTGACTTACCCAGAGATATTCCCTATCAAGCAGAAACACACATGCCGTATATCACAATAGAATTGAGTAAGAATTGGTCTTCAGCAACCCATGTTGTGTCGTAAGAGGTGACTATCGCGATCTGGTGGTCGCTGACTTGGTTGACACATGTTATCGCATCCAAATTGCATAGATTGATGCCAGACGATCACTGGATTGTCTGGACCAGACTCGATTATTTACAGACTGCCACCATATAGCTGGAATATTGCTACGTGAGGTGTTAAACAACAATTAACATCCCGATATCTTTAATACTCTGAAATTATTTCTCCCACCAGACCAGAGCACTCTGATTTGATTCACTGTCTTAGCCAGCATACTGTGACAGTTTGGTTTATGTTAACTGTAAAACCCTTTGAACATTCCCAACAAAAATCCAATTTTAAAGATGTTAAAAAATATATTTTCAATGAATCTTTTTCTTTGTAAATTCTGTTTTTGTTCTTGTAATACTACGAATGTGATTGTTCTTTAAACAAGAAAATAAACTGCTATGGACTTCTTGTAAGGTTCTGAAATACTGTATGTCTTAATCATTGTATATAAAATCATTCTGGAATGAAGAATTCTATTCTTCCCAAATTATAAAGTTCATCACCAAGCCATGAAAAGCTTCAAATATTATTTTGTAAAATTTTGATGAATTTAAAAGACAAGCTAAATATTTTTGCTAGAACTAAAGAAAGTGGCACTTTGTAGAAAGAAGTGCTAGTAATGCAATTAAATTGATCATACAAGTATCATGATTTTCAACTTTAACAGTATAATGTGTGAGTATTCTACATTAGATGATACTCTGCAGCCTGTCCTAAAACACTTAATACCACCTTGTACACATGTATAGGGCCAGTGGTGCCTGTCATCAATAAATCATCAAACCATTGAAATATGATATACCGAAAAAATCAGGTACCAAAAAATATCCAACCAATTTTGAAGTGATGTTGAGACATAAACAAGCTTCCTTGTTTCTTGCACAGTTTAAGTGGATTTTCATGGTGAGTGTGTTACATCCTCTGAGTATGATCAAATCTCGGTTATGAGGTTGATGTATAACATTGTTAAACCCGACACATCCCACTGCTTCCTGTTTGAATCTCAAGCTGCTAATCAGTTTACTGACTGTAAGCAGTGAATTATTCAACAGTTAATGTTTTTTGCAGCCAGAAGTCTCTTTGTTCATCTTTTTCCAAATCAGGTTTAACTCAAATTATTCTGACACTTTTCCAATAAGCAAAACACAAACATCATCATTTAAACCAGTCATCACAAATAAATGTGCTTTTATTCAACAGCTATCCGTCTGGTTATTCATGTATGCTACAGTGAAGATCTCCACTCTTTAAAATGTTTCCTGGATTACAATATTGTTTTTTTCTTTTTTTTTATAAATTTGATAGCATATAACATATGTTGTTTTCTCAGTTACATATGAAGGGAAACATCAGAGGTCAAAGAAAGTCTGTGTAGATTTTATATTAAACTATAGAGATAATCACAAAACTTCACATATTCTTTGACCTAATATACTGGCCCTCATTTCAACACATATCACTTGAGAACCCTATTACCGGTATGCCGGTAATAACATGCAGTCTGACTGATTGGCATGGAACCAGTACAAGGCAAGGTCTCTCGGAAGGGATTATTTTTGTTTTGTTTTAAGAAAATGGTCTCCTTTCTTAAGTCAGGATTTTTTGTTTTGAGGAGGAAGGTTTTTATACCACAACTCACAAGACGGCTTGGTACGTCTATTGTATTTATATATTGTTTATTGTACAGAACAAAAACAGAAGTAGCCATGGATATTGGACAGGTGTATGTGTAGATATGGTGATTATTCTTCCCGTGGGGTTGAGACTAAATGGGTTAATGTAGTACAGTTCTTGAGTGACTGTAATTCACATTCGAGGAATGGTGATTATTCCTCCCTTGGGGTTAAACAATGGACTTAATGGGTGGATGTAATACTGTCTTTAGTGACTTTATTTGACACAGACACAGGCAGACAGACAGACACACACACACACAGAGTGTTGGATCTAAAACTGTTCATGGCAGAACTCATTTTAAACAGGAGTCAGACAGAGTATGAGTGACAGAGTAGGGAAAGAGAAAAAGAGATAGAAAGATGGAGAGAAGGATAGAAAGAGAGATATTGATAGAGAGAGGGCCAGAGAGCAAGACTCACACAAACACAGAGGATTTAGCGAAATGGATGAATCTAACATTATCCTTGACTGACCTTCATGGAATAGTTTCCACTCATCCTCTTCTTGAAGTATGTGGATCCAATACTGAAACTCGGAGTGCGTTTAAAGGCTGATGGAGGTTCCTGTGCTGCAACTTGGTGCTGGGGCCCACTCCAAGAACGACCACCAAACACCTGAAGAAGAACAGACATGTACTGCATAAACAATCCTTAATGAATTAATATCAGTTATCATGACATAAAACTCATTTGTTAAGCACTGACATTTATATAGGCAATTTACACATTGGTTACAGGATCAAATATTCAGGTCTCATTGGAAGATGTAAGTGAACCACACAGGTGGGTGATATAAAGGGGAGATAACCACTCCACCACATGCCCATCTCTACTTCCCTAAAAACATATTTTATGTATCAAGAGTGAGTGAGTGAGTTGGGTTTTACGCCGCTTTTAGGAATATTCCAGCAATATCACGGCAGAGGGCACCAGAAATGGGCTTCACACATTATACCCATGTGGGGAATCGAACCCGGGCAGGGGTGGAAATAACTTTAAAATTGCTAGTGTACTCTGGTACAGTGGCACATGTAAAATCACTTGCCCTGATAATTTTTCCACTATAACGGCCGTTTTCTTGTTGATTTTTAAAGTAAACAACATTATTAACATTGGAAAGTCAACTGGACACTGGTACAGCGTGATATACAAATTTGCTTGCCCGACTAAAAAACACTGGACTCGGACGTCGGGCAATGGGTTATTTCCACCCCTGCCGGGTCTTCAGCGTGACGAGCGAACGCTTTAACCACTAGGCTACCCCACCGCACTTATATATCAAAATCATCAGTTCATCCCTTGTCAATGCAATATGTAAACAAAACATTTACTGCACTAAATATACAGATATACACAAAACATATTTTGGTCACAGCCACATGGGGTTATCTGGTTTCTTTGATTCCAAGCATGGCTTGGCACTTGTGTCGTTAATCAATGCTGGATCCATGTCTGACAAACGGTTTATGAGGATGGAATGAATTCGAACAATGCTTAATTGTGTACCTGTTGTTTCAGTCTAATATCCTGAAGGCAATGCCAGTCATGTATGCATTTTGATTTTGTTTTTTACATGAATTATTCGAGCTACATGTGGAGCATGTGAGTGTGAGTGAGTTTAGTTTTACGCCGCTTTTAGCAATATTCCAGCAATATCACAGCGGGGGGACACCAGAAATGGGCTTCACACATTGTGCCCATGTGGGGAATCGAACCCGGGTCTTCGGTGTGACAATTGAATGCCTTAACCACTACCCTACCCCACCACCCTGCAGTGAATGTGAATAACGCATGCATGTTTGATCATGTGGTTTACAAATCCACTGGGTTCAAATATCAGAAATGCGAAATATGTCTTCCCGTCTAGGTGTTTGTGTGAATCAAATATATGAATTACTAGCCAGAAGTCCAGTTTCAAATTTCCATAAATTGTGCACTTCATGAACTTGCAACACAAACAAAATTCAAAACTGTTCTTTCTGAATGATATTTCAGTTGTCATGATCTGGAAATTGAGTGTAGACCTGTGTCACAGCACTATGCTAAGAAATTTAAGAACATGTAAACTTTGTAATTTAAATTGATCATTAAACTCCATCCTTACATCAATAGAGATCCATGAAGATCTAGGTTACAATTGATCTTCAGTAACCCATGCTTGTTGTAAGAGGTGACTAACGAGATCGGGTGGTCAGACTCTCTGACTTGGTTGACACACGTCATCGTTTATCAACTGCGCAGATCAATGCGCATGCTGTTGATCACTGGATTGTCTGGTCCAGACTTGATTGTTTATAGACCGCTGCCATATATCTGGAATATTGCTGAGTGCGGCGTTAAACAACAACCAACCAACCAACCAACTAGTCCAATCTGATTAGTACCTGTTATATATATCCATGCTGACAACAAACCAACCAACAACATCCATAAACTTAACATTTTGATGTCATCACCAAGCTGAAAAACTAATTTAGCAAAATATTTGTACACTTGTACAATAGGGACTGCACTGGTATGAAGAAACCGTGATGGATGTTGGCCTGAACTCAGAACTTCTAGTATGGAGACACTTGTCTTCATGATGGTCATGTTGACCCTTTCAAGGCCACGCTGATGAATGACTCAGTGACTAAATTAATACAGGAAGAAGTGAGACATGAAGTCATTTCTTGTGTAAAAAGCAATCAGGTTTAGAGTTACGAAAATACTGTAACGCCTTAAATATATGATGAAACAGTCCAACACAATTATATGACAATGTCCAACCAGTTGATGTGGCCAAGCACCAGCCTCTTTAGATACAACTCACATTGATTTCTGTCTGTGACTAGAATCATTTTCTCTTCCAGCATCTCAGTACAAACAGATGATTACAAGATGTGAGTGATTGAACAATGAATATTACACTGCGTAATATTTCTTGTATATCAGTCTTAAACTTGGCTTACTTTTGGTACACTGACAAATAGTTGCTCAGTTTGACAATACGACTAACAAATTAAATATCGGTGATGATGTTTAACATGATGACATACTAATGGAAACAAGAAGACAAAGTCATCAATATCCCCCGCAATGGCAAAATACTCTTCATGATTATGTCTACGAGTTATGATTATGTCAAATATTTAGGTGTGTACATAGAAAAGTGGAAGGAGAGTATTGAAAGGGTTTAAAAGTTCTGCTCCAGAAAGGAGCACTATCATCAATTTCAGTCTAAGTCAAACTTGTTGCCATGGAAATGCCAAAAATATTTTATTCAGAATTCCAAAACTACCAAAAGGCACCAGTACACCACCAGATCTATCTATGTGCCAAGTTTGGAGAAGAAATATTGAATGGTGTTTGAGTTCTGCTCCGGAAAAGAGCACAACCACCAATTTCAGTCTAAGTCAAACTTGTTGCCATGGAAACGCCAAAAATATTTTATTCAGAATTCCAAAACTACCAAAAGGCACCAGTACACCACCAAATCTATCTATGTGCCAAGTTTGGTGAAGACATATTGAACGGTTTTAGAGTTCAGCTCCGGAAAAGAGCACTACCACCAATTTCAGTCTAAGTCAAACTTGTTGCCATGGAAATGCCAAACAAATTTAATTCAGAATTCCAAAACTACCAAAAGGCACCAGTACACCACCAGATCTATCTATGTGCCAAGTTTGGTGAAGACATATTGAACGGTTTTAGAGTTCAGCTCCAGAAAAGAGCACTACCACCAATTTCAGTCTAAGTCGAACTTGTTGCCATGGAAACGCCAAAAATATTTTATTCAGAATTCCAAAACTACCAAAAGGCACCAGTACACCACCAGATCTATCTATGTGCCAAGTTTGGTGAAGACATATTGAACGGTTTTAGAGTTCTGCTCCGGAAAAGAGCACTACCACCAATTTCAGTCTAAGTCGAACTTGTTGCCATGGAAATGCCAAACAAATTTAATTCAGAATTCCAAAACTACCAAAAGGCACCAGTACACCACCAGATCTATCTATGTGCCAAGTTTGGTGAAGACATATTGAACGGTTTTAGAGTTCAGCTCCGGAAAAGAGCACTACCACCAATTTCAGTCTAAGTCGAACTTGTTGCCATGGAAACGCCAAAAATATTTTATTCAGAATTCCAAAACTACCAAAAGGCACCAGTACACCACCAGATCTATCTATGTGCCAAGTTTGGTGAAGACATATTGAACGGTTTTAGAGTTCAGCTCCGGAAAAGAGCACTACCACCAATTTCAGTCTAAGTCGAACTTGTTGCCATGGAAACGCCAAAAATATTTTATTCAGAATTCCAAAACTACCAAAAGGCACCAGTAGACCACCAGATCCATGTATGTGCCAAGTTTGGTGAAGAAAATATTGAATGGTTTTAGAGTTCTGCTCCGGAAAAGACAAATGTGCACGGACGGACGGACGGAGGAGTCCATTTTAATACCCCCCCGAAAAACGCGTTGCGGGGGATAATAACCAAGCTGAAAATCGCCTTTTTAGCTGAAGACAAGTCAGCATTATATAACGATATACATCCTGAGAGATAGCTTGTTTTATTAACCAATGAGTGAGTGGCTCTGATTCAGCAATAGTGTATGTTTTTATCTGTTTATGTTTTGATATGCAGAATGGTTGAAACCAATTTTAAAATGTCTCTTCCCATTACACAGCTGAAATATTGGTCTTAAAAACAACATAAAAATCAAACCCATTCAGTCATCCAGCCCTGCCCACACTATTACCCACTGTTTCCGTGAGGAGATCAACACAATCAATAACACATTGTCCACTCTGTTTTCACACACGGTGACAAGCCTCAGATCATCATATTTCATTCATGATATTACGTCACCTGGTCTACATTACACATTCCACATCTATAAAATCATATTGCATATATATTGGACATTATGCCAAGAGAAGCCTGTGTCTACATGAACATTTATTGTCATATTTGTGATTCATTACGTCAAAGAGAGGCTGCACGATTTAGTGGCGGATGTCAGAATGTGATCGTCCCACTGGGTCAGATTGAGTCAGAATCACCCACACACTGCTTGATGTAAGATTAACTGGGACAGTCTTTATAACCCGACAGCGTGGGATGTATTGCAGCTGTTGGAGCTTGTGAGTTATCTCCCCCTTTTTAGCAATGAGGCCTTTTCAAGAGTTTTGAACATAATTAGCAAACACTTCAATCACTATCCTACCCCATCCATCAAAGAAGACTAAATCTGTTTGATCAAACCTAGAAGTCTAGTAAATTACATTTAGTTGCTTGTTTTCTTACTTGATATTCAAAATATAACATTATTTGAAAATTTGATTGGAAACAAATGCTACAAATGTTATGAAATTACCACTAGGCAGACCTGATGCAAGGTACTCATCGACGTGAAACGTGTAACATCGCCTGCGACACCTGTATCAACTACATCGCCATCAAATGCACATTAATTATTCAATATCTAGCCAGCCATCAACCAGGAGTAGATACATAAACGAGACAAACATTCAGGTGGTTAGAACTTAGGACACGTGTACTGACCCTGCCAAACCGAGTGTCTGACCCGACAGCAGAAGATCAATGTTTCGATCTCTGGCTTCGTCTTACCAAGA